CGACAAAAGAATCAGTATGTCTACTAGCAAACAACTCACACGCAACAAGTTGGGAATGACACATAAAGTTGAATCATCTAAATTTCAAGACCATCAACAAGCTAGCAAGAAACAAACTCGTTGAAGGTCTACCCGACATTGTTTACAAGAAAGATCAAATATGTGATGCTTTCCAAAGAGGAAAGCAAATCAAGTCATCATTCAAAGCCAAAGCTCAAGAATCTACAACAAGACTGCTAAGTCTACTAGACATGGATCTATTCAGTCCAGTAGACCTAGTAAGTCTAAGTGGTAAGAAATATACACTAGTTGTTGTTGATGATTTTTCCAGGTACACATGGACGATATTTCTCAAGAAGAAAAATGAAGTGGAGCAAAAGTTGCCGGAACTACTTAAGCTACTACAAAACGAGAAAGACTTGAAAATTGCAAAAATCCGAACTGATCGTGGAACTGAGTTCGTGAATCAAGTAATTCAAGCATATTGCAATTCTCAAGGAATTCTACATCAATTATCTGCCGCATGTACACCACAACAAAATGGTGTAGCCGAAAGAAGAAATAGAACGCTAAAAGAAGCCGCACGTGTGATGATTACGTCAGCCGAGCTACCTAAAAGATATTGGGCTGAAGCAATCAAAACCGCATGCTATACGCAGAATCGAAGCTTGATACACAAGTCTTACAATAAAACTCCGTACGAGTTATGGAAAGGGAGAAAACCTAAACTCAACTATTTTCATACTTTTGGTATCAAATGTTTTATTCTTAATAATGGTAAAACATATCTAAAGACTTTTGATGAGCGTGCAGATGAAGGAATATTTTTAGGTTATTCATCTACTAGTAAAGCCTTCAGAATATTGAACAAAAGATCAATGGTGGCAGAAGAATCAATTCATGTTACATTTGATGAAGTCCATAAGAAGGAAACCTAGAGCAACAAAAATGATCAGGAAAGTTGTCAAGTTGAAAAATCATTTAATGATACTGATGCATCCTTTAAAGATCATGTTGTGCAGGGAATAGAGCAATTAGACATTGATTGCAATAGTGAAGGACATGTGGAAGCAAATGAAGATCCGCGTGTGGGAATTCTAAACTCTCAAGCAAAAGTACAAGTTGGAGAACAATCTGATGAGCAAAATGAGTCTACCTCCAACTTACCTACTGAACAAGGAAACGTGGAAAATCCATGCAATCCACAACCTGACTTGAGATGGCTCAAAAATCACCCTCCAGAGTTAGTAATTGGAGATCCACGAGAAGGAGTAAAAATAAGATCCTCAAATATAGATGCTTTATTTTTCTTGTTTCCTTTCTCAAGTGGAACCCGCAAGCATTGAAGAAGCTCTAAATGATCCGGACTGGATTAATGCAATGCAAGAAGAGCTGGATCAATTCAAAAGAAATGATGTATGGGAATTAGTTCCAAGACCCGAAAATTACAATGTAATTGGAACAAAATGGGTCTTCCGGAACAAAGCCAATGAAGAAGGAATTATTGTTCGAAATAAAGCAAGATTAGTGGCAAAAGGGTATTCACAAGAAGAAGGAATAGACTTCGATGAAACATTTGCACCCGTTGCAAGACTTGAAGCCATCAGAATATTTCTAGCTTATGCCGCGTACAAGAATTTCATTGTCTACCAAATGGACGTGAAAAGTGCATTTCTAAATGGCTTACTTGAAGAAGAAGTCTACGTCGAACAACCACCCGGTTTCGAGGTAAAATGTGATATTAATAAGGTCTACAGGTTAAAGAAGACGTTATATGGGTTAAAACAAGCACCGAGAGCTTGGTATGACACCTTATCAACGTTCTTAATTAACTGTGGTTTCACAAAAGGCCTTGTTGATAAAACCTTATTTAGAATTCAAGAAAATGATCACATTTTATTGGTACAAATTTATGTTGATGGGATATTATTTTTGGAAGTACTAATAAAACTTTATGTGAGAAATTTTCCAAGCTAATGCAAAATAAGTTTGAGATGAGCATGATGGGAGAGTTGAACTACTTTCTTGGGTTACAAGTAAAGCAACTCAACGAAGGAATATTCATCAATCAGGCCAAATACACAAAAGATCTTATAAGGAAATTTGGTCAAGATGGAAAATCCTCAATCAAGATCCCGATGAGCACGTCTTTAAGATTGGTTAAAGATGATGAAGGCAAAGACGTTGACGAAACGAAATATCGAGGAATGATTGGATCATTACTATACCTCACTGCAAGCCGACCAAATATATCTTATTCAGTGGGAGTATGTGCTAGGTTCTAATCAAAGCCAAAAGAAAGTCATTTTCTTGCCACCAAGAAAATCATTCGATACCTAAAAGGAACAGTCAATGTGGGATTATGGTATCCCAAAGAAGGTAATTTTACACTAACTGGTTTCTCAGATGCAGATTTTGCAGGATGTAAAATCGATCAAAAATGTACCTCAGGGACATGCCAGTTCTTAGGGGGAAGATTGGTATCATGGTTTAGCAAAAAGCAAAACTCCATAGCTACAAGCACAGCCGAAGCTGAATATATAGCTGTTGGGAGTGGTTGCGCACAAATTCTTTGGATGAAACAACAACTGAGAGGTTATGGCGTGAATTGCGAAAATGTCAACATACTGTGTGACAATACAAGTGTTATAGCTATAACACACAATCCCGTGTTACATTCAAGAACAAAGAACATTGATGTGAGATATCATTTTATCCGAGATCATGTTGAAAAGAAGGAACTGACAATAGAATACATTCCGACGGAAAATCAAATAGCTGACATTCTCACAAAGCCACTGTGTGAATCAAGATTTTCGAAATTGAGACACGAGATGAGCATGATTGAATTGAGCTAAGTTTCTAAACTCTATTTAAATTAAGAACTCAATTTTCATCTGTAAATATGTTACTTTATCTGATTTAAGTGACTTATTTTCGTGCCTATGTGTCCCACATGCAAAAATATGTCACATCTTAGTATTTATGTCTACCTATCTTAATTGCACATTGATATATAGTATCAAGCATGCATGCCTCTTCAAACGTGTATAAACATATATATATATATATATATATATATATATATATATATATATATATATATATATATATATATATATATATATATATATATATATACACACAATAAAATTTGGTTAGATTCACAAAATCTTTACCATTAAAGGGTTGACAAGATAGTGTGATGATGATTTTCTCTTCATAAATGAGAACACATTTCTATGGTAGTTGCACACAATAAATTCTCTAAAAAGAATCAATCTTCTTTTCTCTTAACTAGACTCAAACGCGTATATGTATATATTACTTTCGGAACATATTTAGTGCTCTGTGAATTTTATTTCAGGTAAAATCAGTTCGAGTATCTAAATTTTTGGCGCCACATCAGCAGACAAATTGGATGGAGAATATATAACCTAAACTAACTATCAGTTAGGTCAAAGGTTGGAATCTCTTGGAATATCAAAAATAACCCTTACCTTTTTAAAGACCAACATTTTGCTATGAAATGTGAGTGTTGATGCATTGTCTTGTGAAAATACATATCTAGAGCTTGTTATTAGGGTTCTTGTATGCCATTGCTTGGCTATTCCTTTGATTCAAGTCATATTGTAGTATTTTGTGAGATTTTTGGTGTTTTGGACTTGAATTTGAGTTTGAAGTTGAAAATCCCCGAAGGGATTATTTTGGTACAGGGTATGTACCTGCGGGCGGAACGGCGGGTAGGGGTCCACCCGCCGCCCTACCCGCGGGGTACGCTTGGTGTGGGAAGTGGCTCCCGCGGGCGGAACCACGGGTGGGGGGTCCACCCGTGGCCCCACCCGCGGGGTACAAGGTGGTGAATGTTTAGGGATTCGTTCCCCGTGATTCTTTTGACTCGGTAATTGATGTTTTGACTTCCTGATGTTATTTTGTTGGGCTATTTGAGTGTCTTCTTGATGTTTCGTATGTCTAGAACTATATGGTAAGAATCCATGTAGGATTTGGTGTCTTGAATTGTGCTAAGTGTTCAACCTTGTGATTCGTTGAACCATGATGAGTCTTGTATGTTCTTCGGAACTATGTTTTGTTTACCCGTTTGATAAGCATGCTAGTTCGGTGTTGAAATGCTAGCGTGTATGGTTTGTTCTTTCCTAATGTGGATGATAACTTGTGTTGATCATCGTTGTTGTCGGAATGAGATCCTTCCTTGATTGAGTATGGTTTCATATCTTCGTTGTGATCCGTTGATTTATTCCGATGATGATTGTGTGTGTTGGTTGTACCTAGATTGCACGATTAATGGTATGGGACATTAATCACCAAGGTACAGATGTGGTCCTCGTGGTGGCCATGCATGAGTTTGGTGGTTTGTTATCGTGAGTATAGCTCACACGGTTTGGCGGTTTTGTGATGTGATCTTGCAATGTACCCTCGTGTACTGTGCGTTCGGCGGTTTTGTTTGGCGGTTGTTGGAGGGGGAATGACGGTTCCCAGAGGCAAAAGGTTGGACTTGGAAGTATAGGGTGGCACTCGGAGGTAAATGTTGGAATCGTAATAAGGCCGGGGGTAGGCATAAGGTTGGAACAGGGCATAAGGTTGGAACCTTTGACATGAAGTGTCATCGTGGCATGAAGTGCAAATGTGTGTATTCTACTTTGTGATCAGTAGAATACACCTCAAGTTGTACTTGTTATCGTTGTTGTCTTTGCCGTGATGTTTCTACTTTGTGATCAGTAGCTTACATCTTGAGCAGTGTTGAGTTGTTCTGTTGTGTCTTGTCTTAACGTTTTGGGATGTGATTCCCTTGTTCTTTGAGAGTGGAATAGAGTCTATATTATTGATTTCTATCTTTGGCTTTGAACTGATATATACAGTATTCCGTTTCTAAATGATTTTGTAATAAACTATCTATCTATATATGCTATTGACGCGTATTGATGGGTTACCAGCATTATTCGCTGACCGGGTGTCGTCCCATTTATTTATGTGCTTTTCAGGTCCCGAGTAGTGGCGAGCGCGATATAGAGATGGCTAGTGTAGTTCCCCCAAACTCTTTTAGTTATGTTTTGGGCATGTGCGCCTCTTATGCTAGACTTTTAGACTGTTGTTGATGAGGTTGTTGCCTGTGCGTTCACTTAGTGTGGACGTGGCATAACACTCTCCATTTTCCAGTTTTATATATATAGACTTCCGCTGTGTTTTGCTTATGTTTATGGTTAGATTATCTTGCATAATTCAGTTTAAAATGGCATGAAAATCGGGGGTGTTACATATCTCGCATTTCTACACATCTAACCACAATTTAGCAGTTAACAGAGAGTGAAAATGTAGTTTGGGAGTCCATGGTTTATACCTCAGCTTTTTCTTCTTCTTTGTGTGGATCCCTTTATCCTCTCTACTCAAACACCACCTCCTTCACCACCTAAAACCTCAGACAAACAACACAAACCAAGCCTAAGGAAGATTCCCATAGATTGGAAAGCAAAGGAGATGATACCTTTAAGGAAATAAAGGAAATGGATGGCTAAGAATGAAGTTAGGAAAACCTTACTTAGTTTTGCTTCTTCTGCTAACAGAACTGGGAGAGGCAAAAATGAGATCAGGAGAAACAAATGAATATCGTTGAATTTATAGGGTGCACAACTCTAGGTGAGAAGCCAATGATTGGAGGAGGGCAAAATGGTAAAGTGGCTTGGCTTCTAGCAAGGATCAGACAAAGATTTTGGTAGAAAGATCTTGGTTCACCTTGCATCATGGACCAAGGTCTAAAAAGTGAATTTTAAATAACATGGGGTCAAACTAGATTTTATAGAAAATCATTTCTAGTTAAAACACTTGGTTCAGGTTTCATAGGGTTCTTTCCGGTTTCACTCATATTGACTTTTGGGTCAAAACTTGGTACATGAATGTACCCGAAATTTAGGATTTTTGAAATAGGAATAAATCTCGGTGTTCAATTTATTTGAAAACTCGGTTTAAAATATTCAATTCAAACACCGTTTTCGAAATAAAATTTCGGAAGAGTGAAAGTGGCTATTTTGGAATTTTGTAAAACAAAATTTTGAAAAATTATTTTTGGGTTCTCACAATAACAATGATACTCAAAAGAGAATTAAGAAAACTTAGAAAAAGTCAAACCAAAAGTAGTATTCATTAGACTAAGTATTTAGACTATATATCGATTTTACAAAGTTACAAACATTTATTTTAGTGGCAATTATTATGAATCTCCTATTATCTTGCATTCATATATTTTGAATTACATATTTAAATAAACAAATTCGACATTCAATTACCTATGTATGAACTTCTTTTATATAATCTTGTATTTAAATATTTTGAAATATTTATTTAAATATAAATATTGGGCATTAGCCCATTCACACATTGCGCGTGTAAAACTAGTCAAATCATAAAGTCTAACTTGGGTTAGAAATTCCGTTTATTAACAGAAAATTGCTATCTGTTTTCTGTTTTCTAGTTTTTCAGTTTTCATTCTATATTTTCCATTCTCTGTTTTCTGTTTAGAAAACTTGTTTACTAGCACTTATTTTTTCAAATTTATTTTTTTAGATTGACATTATAAAATTAACACAAGTTTAATTTCGAGTGATTTTTAGATCTTATATTTAAAATATTTTTACATATGTTTGGTTTAAATGGAATAAATTTAATTTTTTAATACTTTTAAGTCTAATATATGTAAGATTTTTACATTTGATAACTTAACAAAATTTATATTTGTATGACTGTATATAACATAATAACTAAAAAAAAATATAGCCGAACCAATAACCTACTAAGTTCACCTAAAATATAATTTAGTTTAGATAATATTAATATTTTTTGAGCTAATATTTAAAATATTTTTTTTAGATATATTCATTTTAATGACATATATATGAATATATATCTTTTACTTTGAATTCTAAAATATGTGAGATTTCAATATCTGATATCTGGACCGAACTGTATTACGATGTAACATAATTAAAAATATTCGAACTAATAATCTATTGAGTTCAATCAAAATCTAAAACATTATATAGAGTTTAATTCTTAATTTTTATAATGTAAATAATGTCTAACTTTAAAGTGTAAGCAAATAAGTTATGTTTAAATAAGTAAAGTAAATAGAAAAGATAGAAGATAGTGATAAGTAATATAAGATGATAATGAATGTAATCATAGTAATGTGGTTATAGTGACATATAACTAAATAGATGATAGATGATTCTGTTTTCCATTTAGAAAACAGTCTTTAAGAGTGTTCCAGTTTTCTAGAAAACTGAAAAATTATTTTTAGTTTTCAAAATGGAAAAATGTGTTAGTAAACATGTTTTCTGTTTTCTATTTTTCAATTTTCAAAAATTTTCAGAACGGCTCCAAAAAGTTCAAAGTATCAATTGAAACTATACTCTCATATTTACTCGAAATATACCTTTACTCTCTTATTATCTTACAAACTAAAATCAATCACGATTTGAAGTTTTTGGGCTTCTAAATAATGATTTCATGGGTGTACCTCAATCTCGTGTAGTCTTAGTTGGGGTGCCCCTCCATTCGGAACAAAAAAAAAAAAAAAAAAAAAAAAAAAAAAAAAAAAAAACTAAACTCAACCAATTTAAGCACATAATTAATTAATCAAAACACTTATAAAAATATATTAAAGCACTAAAAATAACATCAAATAAGTGCCTAACAAAGAGAGAAGGGGGGCAAGGAGCAATTTATATCATGTACCAAATTTCACATAGTATTATGGACCCTTAATCGAAACGACAACGTACATAACTCATACTCGTAATGTACAGAATTTCCTAACACAAGACAAAAAATCACAATACAAAATTCAGCATGAATCAAATCTAGGGCATGACCCAATCTTCATTATCAAGACATGATAACAATTATAATATGTTGTTTCTTCAATCAATGCATTTAACTACATTAAAAAGCGAAAGAAACTTAGGAAATTTTGAAACCTAGTCAAGATAGCCCCAGATTAAGATGAACACACCAGAAATCAAAAAACAAGACCAACTCACAGTTTTCAGTTTAGTTTCAAGTAAATGGTCAATCAAAAGATCAAGAAATGACAATCAGAATCAAACCTTTTTTCACTTCTCCATCCTCTCCACCCTCAGCTTCTAAACAATAACTATCTTTATTTGAACTATAGTTTACTAGAAGAGCTGAAGTTGCTCTGCTGGGGTCGACATCTATCTTTGTCGCACGACGCTGGAGCATTCGACAATTGGATGGTTTTCCCAAACTTCTTTATTTGTTATCTTGTATTGCAGGTGACACTAGTGGGGATCTGCTCATAGACCTCGCACACCCAAATGCACTCGTAGGCTTCAAGACCACCTGTTAGGAATAAAGTGTAATGGTTTTGATATGCCAAATATGTATTTGTAGATCCCCCAATTTTATTTCATAGGTCTAGTAGAGTATAAGACCATAATCGGGAAATTATTTAAATTGGAAAAGAGAAAAACAGAGGAAGATGCATGAAAATAGAAGAAGAAGATATCAGCCGAAAATCAAGAATTTGTCTAGAGAAAATGACAAATTGAAGAAGAAGATGAATGATATAATATTCACGTCAATGCTACAAGAAGATATCGCAGAAGAATTTTCGTGAAAGAAAATTAAGTTTGGAAGAATGCATGATTTGACTTGGAGATCAAGCATCTATGGAAAGAAATGAGTACATCAAATGTGATTGGAAATTTAATTAATAGTTGTACAGACGAAGTGGAAGATGCCTGATATTTTATATGAAATGGCTCAAGTTCGAATCTCACCATTAACAATTTTACAAGGTAAAATTTGATAAGCCAAAATTAATTAAGTCTGATGGAGTTGGACATGCAATTGCACTTGGGAGCCGATTTCATAGCAATTGAAATTGGGATCTAGTTTCAGAGAAATTGAAATCAATTAAAATTGGGAGCCGATTTATAGCAATTGAAATTGGGAGCTAGTTTCAAGTTTCATGGGAATCAATTCAAGATGGGAGCTGGGAATTGAAATTGGGAGCCAATTGAGGTTGTAGTATGGGATGCAATTTCAAAAGACATGGAGTGGGAGCTAGTTTCAGAGAAATTGAAATTGGGAGCATGTGTGTAGTATGGGATGCAATTTCAAAAGACATGGAGTGGGAGCTAGTTTCAGAGAAATTGAAATTGGGAGCAAGTTTCACATGGGAATCAATTCAAGATGGGAGCCAATGTAGAAATTGAAATGGGAATCAATTCAAGAATTCAAGATGGGAGAAATTGAAATGAGAATCAATTCAAGATGGGAGCCAATGTAGAAATTGAAATTGGGAGCCAATGTAGAAATTGAAATTGGGAGCCAATTGAGGTTGTAGAAATTGAAATGGGAATCAATTCAAGAATTCAAGATGGGAGAAATTGAAATGAGAATCAATTCAAGATGGGAGCCAATGTAGAAATTGAAATTGGGAGCCAATTGAGGTTGTAGTAAGGGATGCAATTGGGGACTGATTCAAAGAAGACATGGAAATCAAATTGAATTGAGATGAAATTCAATACCAGGAGAAGTCGAGTAGATTGGGAGCCAATTACAAAGGAGAAATTCAAATTGGGAGGAAGTTCACAACCAGTTTGAAGTCTGAGAACGCCCAAACGTGAGAATGAAGAAGATGAAGATGAACTTACAGTAAAGAATTTCTCACAAGGAGAAATTCAAATTGGGAGCAAGTTTCACATGGGAATCAATTCAAGCTGGGAGCCAATGTAGAAATTGAAATGGGAATCAATTCAAGATGGGAGCTAATGTAGAAATTGAAATTGGGAGCTAATGTAGAAATTGAAATTGGGAGCCAATTGAGGTTGTAGTATGGGATGCAATTTCAAATTGGGGACTGATTCAAAGAAGACATGGAGTGGGAGCTAGTTTCAGAGAAATTGAAATCAATTGAAATTGGGAGCAAGTTTCACATGGGAATCAATTCAAGATGGGAGCCAATGTAGAAATTGAAATGG